AAATAAGTATTATGTTAGTCTAAATGAAAGTATAATGTGCCGGGTCTTATAAATTTACCAGTTAATACCATATAAAACCTTCCACGTAAAAATAATGATGATACCTCGTAAATTATTCCACGCCATCGAGGCCATGCAAAGAAACTGCCGACGTTTAGTAACTACTTAGTTTTTATGTCATTCGAATAGACTTCATATAGACCAATGTTTCCCCAAAGGGGTCTACGACAGACTCAACGGGGGTCTACCTTGGCGTGACCAAAAAATGGTAGTTCACAATTCGTAAGCGGGTGTTAGCTTTCAAGAAGTTCAGTGACTGTTACATGTAAAAACTTGCAAATTCCATAATCAGTATGTGTCAAGACTTGCAAATTTCATAATCAGTACGTGTCGAGACTTGCAAAGTGAATGAAATACAATTTGTATGTGTGCTTGCAATCTTGCATCAACTTGTTTTGATTCTTCACCAATATAAATATTAATATTGTATTTTTACCACAGCGAATGGGTACTTTTCTAAATCTAATAAGTTGGAATTGCTTGGTTTCTTGTGTTGTAAGTAATAAATAAAATAAAATTGGATCGAATTACTTTTTTTATTGAGAAACTTCACTTTTATGACATCTACTCACAGTACAATCAGTTAATTAATAAACCAATCAATTTTCACTTCTTACTCGTATTCAAAAACTGTTAATTTGTGGTTGGAACGCAGCCGCAACGAAAATTTCCATAGTTAGATCTAATCTTCACATCATTTGTCGAGTTTTGGGAATATGGTAGAAATGTAGCTGCAGGGAAGGGTGTCCACCGGAACTAACAAAATTTTAAAAGTGGTCTATGATGAAAAAAAGTTTGGGAACCTCTGGTAGAGAGTATAAACATATCTTTACATATACATAACCAGAGGTTTGGAGATTTTCACCACCAATAAACAAATAGTTTAGCTGAATTTTGAACTGATAGTCCGTTATTGAAAACACAAAATTTTTAGGACTATACATTGATGAAAGTCTCTGTTGGAATACTCATATTAGGCGCTACGTACCACACAGCTCATACCACATTGGATATTCTGCGATTTGAAGGTATGGTCATTTCACATGAAGGTGATGTGAACTGGCCACCGAGATCGTGCGATTTGACCTCGTTAGACTTTTTCTTGTGGGGTTTTCTCAAGTTGCAGGTGTATGCGAATAGGCCACAAACTGCAGCCGTCCTCAAAGCCAACATAAGCCCGGTGGTGGATTTACCAGCAGGCTAAGTAGGCTTGAGCCTAGGGTGGCAGATTTCTGGGGTGGCAAATTTGGAAAACGATTTTTTTGCTACATCATAGAAATTAAAAATATTTTGGCATGACGATTGTCTGATGTTTTACAGATAGAAGTCTGCAACAAATTTTCCCAATGACTTTCCTACTCTCACGAGAGAAGCTTTTGTTGTCTGAAAAGGCTAAAAAAGTATCTGAGATCGACCTTGAGCCAAGAAAAATTGAACGCCTTTGCTCTTTTTTGCATAGAGTCAGAATTAATGAACAAGATTACTTATGACGATATCATCGATGATTTGGACAACAGAAGTTATTGCAACGAACTTTTATAACTTGACTGAGTTAATTTTTTTAACTGTTCGGAAGCGCAATAAAGAATATTTATTCACGTTTACCAGATGTACCTTACTGTGTGAGTAGAAAACATTACCCCACTCGTATAAATGATTGAACTTTGATTAGCTCAAAAATATACCCAAAATTATTTTACCTACAATTTCAACGTAATTGTTGGGATTGCCAAAATAATGTAGGGCATGACAATTGTAGAGGCCAGGGCGGTAAAAACTGTACAGCCTTCACATTAAAAATTTGTAAATCCGCCACTGCATAACCCATGCCATCAGTCAAATTCAGCATTATTTATGCGCCAAATTCATGAAAAATTGGACGTCTTGGATGCACTCCACCCAGAGAAGGCATTGCAGACATTTGAACACTGTTATATTCCACACATAATGGCATCAATAGGTCTTTCAAACAAATAAAAAATTTCTGTGATATCTGTTGAACATTACTGATATTTTTCAAGTACCACTTTGTGATATTTTCACTAAACAGTTCATATATATTGAGGGCTGTGGCTAAAAAGTTATCAGCTATTCGTTGCTCCCAAGAATATTCAGTACTTACCCAAAACATGCCGGAGATACTCTGTAACCACCCAAAGGAGCCAGATGTCCCTCGGTAGAATCAAATCCAGCAGAAACAAGAACTATATCGGGTCCAAACTCTCGTGCAATTGGAAATATTATGCTCCTAAATGCAGCAAGATACTCTGCGTCACCGAGTGGTGGGTTCAAGCCTCCTGACCATGCTATGTTCACATTGAATCTGTAAATAAAAAACAAATCATAATAATTAGTTCAAAAAAGGAAAGTGATAACTTTGCATAATGGTTCATTGCATTAGTCGAAGTACTTACTTTTCTTATTAAATGATCACTGAAAAAGTGATTGTATAAATAATGGAAAAGGACAAAGACTTTGAATGACGAAAGCTCCATAGAACAAAACTAAGCTAGTATAGTACTGTTACAACTAGGTAATGAGTGAGAGTCATGCATGCGAAGTCAAACAACCATACATTCCTAAAAATTCTTTCATTTCCAATTAATTACAAAATTACAAACATACCTCTTTTTAATTATGGGTATCAAATGACAGGGCTTGACTAGTAGATTAGAAGTACATTTTGAAATAGATGAAAATTCAAGATGGCCGCAGCTACAAAATGGCGGATTACATTTTTTTTACAACTACCTCAATATGGGTATCAAATGACAAAGCTTGACTAGTAGAATAGAAGTACATTTTGAAAAAGATGCAAATTCAAGATGGCCGCAGCTACAAAATGGCGGATTACATATTTTTTCACAACTGCCTCAATATGGGTATCAAATGACAGGGCTTGACTAGTAGGATAGAAATACACTTTAAAAAAGATGCAAATTCATGATGACCGCAGCTATAAAATAGTGGATTACATATTTTTTCACAACTACCTCAATATGGTTATCAACCGACAGGGCTCGACTAGTAGAATAGTAGTACACTTTGAAGAAGATGCAAATTCAAGAAAACTGCAGTTACAAAATGGCAAATTACATATTACCTAGTAAAACTGAGGCACTAAATGACCTGAACAGAATGAGAAGATTTCAGTAACAAAATTAGAATACAAAAACTTGAAAATGAAATGACTAAGAAAAATTATGTTGAACGGTTTTATTAAAAAAAAAAAAAAGAAAATGATGTAGATGATGATGATGTACTAAAAACTAAAAAATAATTGGGAAGGTTTTAGGTAGCAGTCATCACACCACTCTCCTCAGGACTCTACGGTATTGATCAGATAAAATAATACTAAAATCGTTGGGCGTAGTATTTATGGGATATAGCAGAGTTGAATATAATAACTGATCAGGATTTCGGAATTGTGAAATACACTTTATTTTTATTATCACAATAAAACAACAACGCAATCGTTTCTAATGACTGTCAGACTACTACTCGATCAGGATTGAGTTACCAATCATTACATCTTGTGCTGCCATCTATGTGGAAAATAGTGAAGTATTAAAATACAAACGGTAAGTATATGCAACTAACAACAAAGCATATTCAAGTGAGGGTCGTTGTATAAGTACAGAATTGCTAATATCAACAGTATTTACACATTTAGTCAAGTTACGATACGCCCAATGATTTAATTATTTTTTTATGTGATCAATACTGTAGATTGCTGCTGAGGCTAGAGGTGTGATGACTGCTCCCTAAGACCTTCTGAATTATTTTTTAGTTTTTAGTACATTATCTACATCATTATTATCTTTTTTTTAATAAAACTGCTCAACATAAAAAACTAATTATTTTTAAAAAGCTGATTTTGGATGTTACTTTCATCAAATACAGTTGTTATAAATATTCGAGACACTGAAAGAGAAGAGAATAAAAAAAATTTATATTATCATTATTAGATATACAATATTCATACGTTTTGAATGCATAAATTATAAATTTTTGAAATACAATATACTACTAGTATATAATGCCTAGAATAGAATTATTCAATTCATGACTGAATAAATCTCAATAAATTGATGGATGTAGCCGTTACTACGTGGTAGGAAATCATAAGGAAAAAAAGAGAAATTAAACTTTCTATGTTTTTTACCACTTTCATTTGTAACTTACGTTACTGCAGTTTCGTCCTATACGGACATTTTCAAACTTATACAATAAACTCGGTCGGAGTTTATTGTGTAAGTTTGAAAATATCCGTATAGGACGAAACTGCAGTAACGTTAGTTACAAATAAAAGTGGTAAAAACATAGAAAGTTTAATTTCTCTTTTCTTCATCATGAATAAATCTCAGTATAAAAATGTATGAAGGATACTTCATTTTTGTATTTTGTATCATGAATTCTACAAAAACTTTTAATGAAAAAAGGATCAAGTGATTGATTCATTGAAATTAAATGGGCTACTTGCTTGTCTCACTATCATCTCTAAAATGCCATTAATGCTTCTATTCATCATTACATTCGCCTGTTGAGATCTGCACATGTTGGAAAAGTTCTTATAATGCAAAAATGGCAATGAGAGTAATACAAATTCAAAATTTGTGGAGAGATGTTACTAATCAATTATTTTATTACAAATGCTTACTTTTTAGTATGAGAAACATTTCCAGTCATGTAGTTCAAAATAAATATACTATATCTAATATAGCGTCGTGCCTCAGCTTATCCAAGAATCTCAATTTTTCCAGATTTTTGGCAATTGAAAGTTGATCCCAAATGAGTGGCAGTTCCATAAAAGAGTAAAATGTTATTTGAATTTTTTTTATAGAAGTGAACACGACTTGATGACATTGACACTGTTTTTTGTTGTTTTATGTATGTTTCTTAAATTTTTTTTCACAAAGATTTAATGTATATGTTCATATTTCTAAACACGAAAATAATTTCTCATTTAGATTATTCACGATTTTTATGTTTTGTATATATGTAATATAAATATTTATATTTCATTATTTAAAATAGCTCAAAATTTGTTGCTGCAAGTACAACGAAGGTACAACTCTACTCAACAGAAAATAATCTTAGTTTTTGATGATCAAAGTGGCTTTATGAATTTCTGATCGATTATAGGGTGTCGGTCGGGGGCCAGGCGGTTCGACGTGGGTGCTTTGTTCACTCACTCGAATTGACTGACGTGTTGGTAGGTGGTTCAAGCCCTAGTCTGAACGATCGATTTTCACTTGCTATCGTCCAACCCGTGTTAGGAGTCACACGTTAAAAGGTAAGATCTCGTTAATCCCTGGCTCGCACAAGTTTCGACTTCTGAGGGTTGTCGTTCGTAGGGGCGCGACAGCTGGTTAATGGAAAAACAGATTTTAAACATATTATAAGAGATAATAATTCATGACAGATATGAAGTTCATTGATACAAAGTTAAAGAAAAACTAAAATTTAATGAATACATGATGAGTTATTATTATAAGCTTCAATTGAGCATTATCAAAAAACTAATTGAATAATGAGGCCACTACTTGTGGTTTTTTGTTAATGTTTGCATTGTACAAGAGAGAGTCTGCTTTCTTTGGATTTGACACTAATCATGATCAACCTATTTTGATAGTACAGCCTTTTATCTTTAAACTAAATTTTCATGTTGTTTTCTGATAATTTATGAGCGTGCTCGGAACAGTTTTTTTCAATCTTTTTTTATGGATTTTTTCAAAAAGTGTCGCTCCAGCAACCAATAAGTAGTCTCTTGTTTAATTTGATGTTATTAATATAATTTTATTCAATTATATTTGTTAGGTCAGTCGGTAGCCAAGCGGTTCGGCGTGGGTGCTTTGTTCACTCACTCGAATTGACTGCCGTGTTGGCCGGTGGTTCAAGCCATAGTCTGAACGATCGATCTTCACTTGCTACCGTCCAACCCGTGTTAGGAATCACACGTTAAAAGGTAAGATCTCGTTAATCCTTAGCTCGCACAAGTTTCGACTTCTGAGGGTTGTCGTTCGTAGGGGTGCGACAGCTGGTTAACGGAAAAACAGATTTTAAACAGATTTTTTTTAAACAGATTCATTATTATTTGATATCTTGTGAATGTATGACTAATACATCAACAACATTTCATAAAAATAAAATTTTATATCAACATATGTGAGTTGGAAGTGTTAAATGATATGAACAAAAAAATGTTTTCAAAGGAAATGTCGATTCAAAGAACTACTACTCAATACAAGAGTTTCTTGATGAAAAATATACAGCATCCAACATATAAGAATTTCAAATATTTCATTTTGTTTGAAGTATATGTTCTAATGTCAAATATTTTCAACATGTATCCAATGTGGAAATATTTTTATATATTGATTTAAAATTGTAAAAATATGTGATTCTGTCGTTTCCCATAATGTATGATGTCTTCATGTATATTTTTGTTGTATTGTTACATTCAGAGAAAAATAAAATATCTATCTAACCAAAACCTAAACTCTGAAGAAGCTATAAATAAAATCACGAAATGGTAGCAGATTTAATTGTTCAATAACCTCAAATTACTCAATAAAAGTATGTCTTGGACGAAATTTCAATAAGTGAGCTCAATCGGGTTTAATGAAAATTTGATTATTATCATTTCATTAAATGAAATAGTCGAATAATTATCGAGTATTTGACCAACAAATCTTGGAATCACACATCAAAAAGTGAGACATCATTAAACTTTATTTTGGGTTGTCATTTGTATGGGACCGACAGCTGTTGATGAGAGAACTGATTTGTAAACAACATTCTCTAATTGTATTGACAGATTGCCACTTACCCTACTCCTGCTCCAGAACCACATTCAGTAACTCCACCTGTCCCAGGAAAGAAATTTCCATCATCGTGTCGATGCATTGAAATTACCAAGACTCTTGGATCATCATAAAAAATCTCTTGTGTTCCATTGCCATGATGAACATCCCAGTCAAATATGAGTATCTTATGAACTCGATGTTCACGTTGAAGAATTCGTGCAGCAATCGCTACCTGTTGAGAAATTCAAATAAATTATGGCAGATTAATCTAATCAGAATGAAAATAGATAGCAATTTGATACATACAAATTTAAAAAATACAAAAAAAAACTTAAATTTTTACGGACATAAATGTTTTACAAGCATTATTCTATGTAGAAATACAAAGTACATTCAATTATGAAAGAAAAAATAAAATAAATAAGTATTATGTTAGTTGTATCCAAGTTATTGATAAGAAGTTTTTAATATAGCTCTGACAGAGAGAGAGAGAGAGAGAAAGAACTTTATTGTCCAAAGAACAGAATTCTTGTTAACAAAGTTGAGAAATACATTTATGTATGTACACATATATCTATATATACATACACACACACATATACATATGTAACACAAAGGGATCAATTCAAAATTAAATAAACACCTTAAAATAATAAAACCAAGTAAAATAGTATAAAGTGCGTATACAAGTGATTGCAATGTTGGTCAAAATCTTCATTATAATATTCGTCTAAAGTATAAAAAGCTTTATTTAGCAAAAAACATTTTACAGCACTTCGAAAATTTTTACATGAAGAAGTGGAGCGAAGATATACTGGCAAATGATTGAACATTTTCCTTGCATTGTATATTATGCATTTTTTTATTAATGCGCTTTTAGGAATGGGTAGTGCTATTAAGTGGCTATTATGCCTAGTATTGTAAGAGTTTGTTGAATCACTGGTAGTATTAAATTTTTTGTGCATCATACACACACTTTCGAGAATAAAAATGCATGTCAGAGTCAAGATTTTTTGATCAATAAACAGGGGTTTACAGCAATCTCTCGGTTTTGCCTTACAAATATATCTAACCGCTCTCTTTTGTAAGATAAACACAGACTGTAACAAGAACTGAGAAGCATTACCCCAGAAGCAAATTCCATATCTTAGGCGGGATTCTATTACCGCAAAATAGACTGTTCTTGCAGCTTGCAAGTTGAGTTCTCTGGTAATAACCCTTAAAACATAGCATCCCGAAGCCATCCTATTACATAGATTAGAGATGTGGATATCAAAGGATAGATTATTATCTACATGCAAACCCAAGAATTTACTTGATGAGACGGAGCTAATTAAAGTATTCCCTAGAAAAATTTCATTTATTATACATTTAAAGGTTAGTATGCAGGTTTTTGTGGTATTGAATGCCAGTCTGTTAGCATCACACCACTTTTTAACGATGTCTAGATCAACCGATATATTATTATATAGTTCAGTATTGTCTTTTGAGTGCCAAACAATAGTAGTGTCATCAGCAAATAGAGTTATTTTTCCTTTCGTATTGATGAGAGATAGGTCATTTATGAAGAGCAGGAACAGTAGTGGACCGAGTACTGAACCTTTAGCATAAATGGTGATTATGTTTAATACTAATCATAATATTGAAAAAAGTTATTGGTTATTATAAAAACCTCATCTAGAAGTCCACAGTCTCATTGATATGATAAATAATTAGATATCAACGCACAATACTATTTGTGTATATGTGTACGTTTTGGAATATATTTATATATGTAGATGTATGCATGAATATACGTTTGTAAATGTGAATATATGTACTGATATTCATGTGTAACTAGGAGAATCAGCGTATATAGTTACATTACCATTTATGTCACTCAAATAATTTTTATTGAATGTTTCTGTTAAATGTTTCAAAGTCGAATTGTCCCAATGGAAGAGTCCAGGAGAGCAGAGGCCCAAAAAACACCCCAAGTTCGATCAAATGTCAAGGTTTTGCGCAAGTGTGGGTCAAAATTCTCCAAATTATCTTGTAATCAAATGTTATAATTATAACAGACCTCTGATTAATATTAAGAGAATCACACTAAAAATTGAACTAACTTGAATTTTGATCGATGGGTGTTTTACCCAATCAATTAATTTTTTGATTATAAGTGTACTGTAACTATTTAGGTATATGCTCAAACATTTTTTATTTTTTATTGTCTATGTATATTATAAATTATGATGTCCTGATTCAGTGGTATATATATGTATTTTAAACTATAAATTTCAAAACGTCTTTATTGTTTTGCCTAGTCCAATACCTAAGGTTTTTCATGTATAAAAACCGTATTTTGTATGTGTAAAGATCTTCAGTGATGAATGTTTATTCTAAATTCATTTTAACGTATATGTGGGCTGGTTGAAAAAAAAATGTATTTTTCTTCAACATTGTTCATCACAAGGACTATCATCAATTCCGATCATTATAGGAGAGTTGAGACAGGATTGAAATTTATTGAAAATTATCAATTAAAACCTCACCGAATTGAAAAAGCAAAATCCCATGGCTTGTTGTGGTTCCGCATGATGACCTGGAGGTCTGACTATTGCAAAACCATTCCTGATATCTCCTGTCCAGGTACGTACTGCCAAATCAACAGTGCAACCGACCGCCATTCTGGCAGCAGGTGCAGTATATAATTCATTCCATGTTGTGTCTGTATCAACCTGGAAAAAAAAATAGACAATATTTGCCTTCGAATCTGATATTCAATATGAAAAAGGTGAATATCATTATTCGCAGTCGATCCACTTTCTGATTGGTAGTGAAACAAAAAATTAACAGTAGAAATGGCATCTGAGCATAGGCAATCTTAAACAAATAAATATCAAGCTTTAATATTAAGAAATAAAAGCTTTCCTATATAACACTTATCAGTTATCTTACTAAGCATTGTTTCATTATTTGTGAATTTTATCTGTCAAAGGCATCATTGATGCCTTTGTCTGTTAAAAAATAGGGTGAATGTTCAAATTTCGCAGGCTACGTATAGAGCATGGATAAAAAACGACACTCGTCCTGGATGCTCCGGTATATCAACAACCAATGAAAATGTTGAGAAAGTGAAGTTATAGAGAATCGTCGAATCACTATTAGAGAAATTGCTGAGGATGTCGGCAAATCGGTTGGCTCATGCCATGCAGTTTTTTTTTAATTTGGGCATGAAGGGTGTGGTAGCTAAGTTCGTTCCAAAATTGTTAAATTTGACCGAAGAAACCGTCGCATGAGCATCGCTCAGGAATTGTTAAATGATGTCAACGGCGATCCAGATTTGCTTAAAAGGGTCGGTCATAACTAGTGACTAATCATGAGTTTATGGTTATGAAATTGAAACCGTCCAAATGGAAAAGCCCAGGAGAGCAGAGACCACAAAAATACACTAGGTTTTGTTTAATTATATATTGAACAGTACAGCAAAATCGAAAAAAATATCTCGAGAAAAGTCAGAGGGAATTTATTTATTTTGAATATTTAACAAAATGATAGATCTTCCCTTATCATCCAGATTGAATCGCGAGACTTTATATATCTTATTTCTACACTGTGATCGAATTCATTCCTGAAACATATACTTTTTAGCTCAAGTTTTATATAACTGGTTTTTATTCCATATTCGCATGAGTGACTGCCTCAGGGTCACCTTATCGTTTCCATCAATTTCTACTGGTTTTATAATTGTAAATCACACGCGCTTTTCATTTTCCTTTTCAAGGGGTACTGGAATAAATTGATATGTTATGTTGCCCTGATTATAACGGGAATTACGGCATTGTTCAAATATGCGTTACTGAGGTTCAAATCAATCAGAATTTCAGTATCAGATTGAATGCTAAACTAGAAATTGGAATGCAAATTGAAATTTCAAAAATTCAGAGTAAAAATACTAAATTAAACAACTACCGTCCTGATATGTTGCTACTGATAGATTTAGATAGGTTGTTGCCCGAAAAAAAGTTGGATCGATGCAACTAATTTTCCTTTATTTTCAGTATTTTACTATTAAAGTAAGTTACAAAAAGGATTTGAAGCTCTATGACTTCTATTTGATTATCTGCGAGCGCTTTCGACAGCTGGTCCACAGCTGGCCTAGAAGATGACAGCACGATCCTAGGGCTGACGTCAAAGGCGAAGTTCAAAACAATAATTCAAAATTACTGATTTGTTCTACCACTTAACCTCACACAAGCTTGACATTATAAAATGTGCCTGATATTGATTGTATGAACATCAGTTCGATATGAATTTTTTTCATATAAGTCGGAATCTTCGTTATGATTATTCTGTGAAATAAGCACACTGCATGCAACTGTCTACGCATTGCCTTATTTAACCAATCCGTTTCAACCAATTTATTGGAAATACTTTCTCGCCTTCGAACCCCATGAATGGGACGTAAACATGAATTTTGAATATTTTGGATTTTTCGCTCAGAGCTTTTGTTAAACAGGGACGGTACACTGAATCATCAAAATTCAGGGTAGACAAAAGTAAATTATCACATAACATTATTTTTGTTGCTTTTGTAAGAAAATTTCTATATCCATAAATAATATTGAGAGTTCCATAAGCGTTTTGGATACGTTTTTTCACGTGTGTTTCGAATCTTAAATTACTTTCGAGAATAAGTTCCAGGCTTTTCGCTTGATCTACAATGGACAGGTCCTTGTCAAGTATTTTTATTTTGTCTTCAATCTTCTCCCCGACATTTTTTGGCCCAGATGCGATGTTACTTTCTTGTCTTTTAATGTATTGAAATGTGAGGTTCTTATATACATCACTGTTATCGTAAAGGGATATTGAATTTGATGAAAAATTTGAATTGAACTGAGCTAAGAAATTGATATGTTTTGAAATTATTCTCGTACTGAAACATTATGAGAACTAGTACTTTGTTTTATTATAATAACAATTAAAATTAGTTCTATTGATTTGTTGGGTTTGTTGAGTAAATTATTATTACTATGGCCAGAATGAGTCTATAGGTTGAATTTTGTGACTTACAAACACATTAAATGTAGATTTAGAACTTTTTAATTCTTCTTTAGAATCATATAAAAAGACTGAAAAGATTGTAATTGATTGGTTTATTTTTGCCTTTCTTTTTTTTATGTAAAAAATAGGCAATATCAAAAATAAATAAATAAATTATTGCTTTCTACTCACATTCAAATTAAAGCAATAAGAGAAAATACACACTATTCGTAACATTTACTCACCCCAATACCTCCACAGTGTAATCTCACAAAAGCGTTGACTGGTAAAGCACTAAGTTTACTCATGTCCATCTTATGCCTATTTAAAGAACTAGTTCCGTAAAGTAAGGAGTGAGCTTCCGAATGACAGGCTTGCAGTTCTTGGGTCGATGCTTTCCTTGGTCGTAACCTATCACATCTGAAAAAAGTAATAAGAAATACATGTCAGTTCATTTTCATTGTGGTTTATTATAAAACTTCATTTAATGTGATGAAAACCGGAAAAAACAGCCAAAGAAATATCACTTTTATAAGATTATTCCCACTATTGAGTGGGGAAAAAAATTCTGATCTTTCTTACATTACCACCTCTTATAAATAATTATGTACATATGGCTGACCTAAAGTTTTATCTCCAATACACAATGAATGCATCCCCATATACCAAAAAAGGAGAAAGACATGTTTCGTTGGGCTGTGGTGAGGATACGTATCAAATAAAAGTGATGCTGGTAGCCTAGGAGTTGAAATGTTATAACATGTTAGGCTGATTTTGTACTTTATTCCCATTTTTTTTTCATTTAACATAGATTTCGTGAATTCTGATAACTCAACATTAGGCTATTAAAAACCATGATTTTGAGCTCATTTTAGTCTGTTTTCCTCCTTATCACCGATTTTTCATATAAATTGAAATCCATACCTTCCAGTTTGTGTCTGAAAGTTATTTCTTTGCATGATCTATGTAGGAAGTTACTTCTTTTAAAATTGATTGCTTTCTTCCTTTCCTTGGAAGATTCTCACATTTTTTTGTATCAAGTTGGAGTAGTAGAAAGCCAAAAACTTTCCCAAAAATTAATCACTCCTAAAAATATATCCCTTTCAATTTGAACAAGTTTCCTTTGGCTGGGATTCAATCAAATAAGCAAATGAATATTTTCGATGACATAATTCGATCATACTTATTCCGTGACATAGTCTTAATTATATGAATGAATAATGTGTTTTTTCTTATAATGTTATCCAGATTGGTACTGAAGAGCCCTGAAGCAAGTCTCTTAAGGCAAAACATCGATGTCTACCAGTGAGGATGACAGTGTTCCATGTAAGTGAAATTTTTACCTTTCATTTAGTATATTGTGTAGGAATCCGGTGAATGATATCCGATTCAATTCTATAACGAATGTTTGGAATATAAACTGAGTAGAGAAAAGCGTTTTTTGTATAATTCAATGTTCATATAAAAGTATTTGTTCAAAAAGAATTTTTCTTTCGTGTACTTCAATGTTTATATGAAAGTAGCTGTTTCAGGACGGCTTTTTCTATCAGTTTGTGTCTGAAAGTTACTTTATTGCACGATCTACACATATACTGTGTCTCACTTCTCATGGAAACACCCCCGTATCTTCCGCAATATTCGAGGTAGAACGATGAAACTCTCAGGACTGATGGAAATGCTCAAAATGCAGTGTTCCATCGCGAGTGGCGGACAGTGTATATCACTTTGGCCAACCCCATTCAGGTGGTAGGTGCATTTTGAGCATTTCCATCAGTACAGAGAGTTTCATCGTTCTACCTTGAATATTACGGAAGATACAGGGGTGTTTCCATGAGAAGTGAGACACACTGTATATGCATAGAGTTACTTCTTTAAAAATTGATTACTTCCTTCCTTTCTTTCGAAGATTCCCACATTTTTTGTATCAAGATGGCGTAGTAGAAAACTAAAAACTTCATTTCCCACTAATTTGAAGAATATTGGCGAAAAAAAAATTCTCTAGAGTATATTTGAAGCCATTAGTTTCAGACCATTATATGTAAGCAGTATGAAATTTCAATTACTTTTTGATTGCTTGTATTCATCGGCTACTGATGTGAAAGTATTAAGGATAAAAAAGATTAACACATGGGTACTTATTCAACCCGAAATTCACCAAAAACAATTCTGTAACTGTTAACAAAAACGAGGAAGTTAACAAAACCTTGCATATAGCTATGTGAACAAAGGATGCAGTCCTTATTCTTTTTGAAATATTTCATAACCATGAATAAGTCCGCCTGTGATAAATTACTTGTTTCTACCTCAATATAACGTTCCTGAACTAAACACATCCTCACCTGAACACAGACATTAAATGCTTCGATGTACTGACAATGACACATATCTCGTGACGTCTCAATAACTTTTGACAAACGAAAAGTCGCGTATCTCGATGACATAAAATGCTATCGATTTGACATTTTTGCCATTGCATTCTGATAGACGAGAACTACCGGAAAATTTATAAAATAATGAACAAAATTAGATTTGACTAAATGGCCATATTGTATGAATGTTATATGGGAAGTAACACAAATAATTCCTAGCATTAATGGATTTTCACTGCCCTTGAACCAAAAAAAACTTTTGTGTTAGTTTGAATGAAAATTCATGATGACTATGATGCCATATTCGTTATAGAATTGAAACAGCAATCAGTCATGGTAACACTACACAATGTGATATATCTGTTTCAAATATGTTTTCCGTTAACTAGCTGTCCCACCCCTACGAACGACAACCCTCAGAAAACGAAACTTGATATAAAATGTCATTAAATAGAAAACAATCATCCTTAATGGTGTACTTCGAAGTTTCGGAACAAACTACTTGTCTTATCACATCATCAGCCCCGTTTTGGATGGCATTTCAAACACGTTTCTTTTATAATATTGCGACTTTTTGTCACCGGAAGAGATAAATCTGCTTTTGTTTCCATAAAATTATGTATTCCTAGATATTCATACAGTTATAATTGGCATTATAAGATGGATTTTAATTCTTTAATTTCTGGAAGTCTTACACTTCTTGGAAGTTATCATCATCTACAATTGCAATTAATACATTTGAACATTGAATGATGAAAATGATAAGAAAAATAATGAAAATGACAAAAAATTGCTGTGAAAATACAGGTCCGTATTTGAAATTTCAAAGTTGATAGTGGCACAAATCACATATAAAAAATTTATCAACATATTCCTATCGCTAATTGAATGTTCTCATGACGAAGTTTAAATACAGCAAGCGCCATACGTGATGGCGAGCCCGCCCCCATGCGCACAAACTCATTTTCAATGTAAACTCCACTACAGCCTTTCAAGACATACAAATGCCTCCAAAGCTGATGGCGTTTGGCATTATCAGAATAATTTGTGTTGTTTCTGAAAAAAAAAGATCGTCTAACAAAAATCCAGTCATCAAGAGTGTATCATTATATAATATTTTAATGAACTGTACCATACCTATAATACTAAATAAAATATGAAAAGAAATTCCAAAGAAGTCATGTTCAATTTGTTACCCTAATTAAAACTAATTATAGGTACGACACTGGCCAGTAAGATGCTTATCGTAATCCAATAGTAATTTAGTTGGGAGAGTCTATACCTGCGCGATCGCTTGCCATCACGTTTGGCGCTTGCTAAATATTTTTTTCAATATTTCTGCGTACAAAAAAGATACGGCCCTGAGTATAATTTGGCTATGAGGCCTGAAAATGCATCTTCAAATCAAATTTACAGGGGTTGCCTCCTCGCTATGTAATGTAGTTTAGAAAAGTGGTATTCAATATCTCTCAATGTACATAATTATTTTGTTCACAAGTGTGAATAATGTTAGTTTGGTGGTCGAGTAGACAAGTGTGAAAAGTTATTTCAGGATTCAACATTAGCAAACAGTTTTCCAAACTTAAAATGATTCAAGAAATGGTTTCTGAAAATGAGTTTTTACCTGGAAACCAAACCAGTTTCAAGTAACCTCGACCAAATACTCTGCAATCTACCAGCATGTTCAGGATGAAGGGCGTTATTTCCGCAAACGCATGCGTGTTTGAGCATCTGGTTATCGTAGGCGAGACCAGTAGTAGGAGTGGAAGAAGCTCGCCGCCTCGTTAACGTTGGTCCTTCCCCAGGCGGTCCAAGGTGTACAACAGGAGAACTCAGCGCCCTCGATAACGGTCGTATACTGAAATAATTTTTAAATGTAAATTTGAATAAACATAATGTGCAGACATCGATGAGTGTTTTCCTACAAAAAACTAGTATTGTCCTCCATTCCTTCATAGGATGTAATGAATGGATTTTTTTGCTGGTATCTTTTTGGCAATACTGTTTTTGACAGATCACGCGTGAATCGTGTCTTGTGTCATTGTCAAACTTGTTCACTTTGATCTATAATTTAACCACGAATCGACTTACGAATAAACAACGCTTGCAAATTATTGAATTTTATTTTCAAAATTCATGCTCGGTGAAGAAAGTGCATCGTGCACTTCTTCCAATTTAAGGGCAGTTTCGTCGGTCTACCGAAGGAGCTATTCGGAAGCTTGTGACTAAATTTCGAACCCAGTTTACATTATTGGACATTAAACCACCAACACGCATACGTAGAGTGAGGACTGAAGAAAATATTGCGACTGTATCCGCCAGTGTTCGTGATGACCGTGAAATGTAGATTCGCAGCAATTGGGCCTCTGTTACTCCATTACGTGGAAAATTTTGCAAAAGGATTTGGGTGTAAATCCTTATAAGATACAGCTAGTGCAAGAACTGAAGACACACGACCTCCCACAACGTCTAACATTTGGTGAATGGGCACTGGCAAAGTTGGAGGAACGTCCACATTTTTATCGAAAAATTATGTTCAGCGACGAGGCTCATTTCTGATTGAATGGATACGTTAACAAGCAAAATTGCCGCATCTAGAGTAAAGACCAGCCACAAGCATTGCAAGAGCTACCGATGCATCCCGAAAAAGTCACTGTTTGGTGTGGATTATGGCTAGGTGGCATCATCGGGGCCGTACTTCTTCAAAGCCGGAACGTTACTGTGAATGGCGAGCGCTATCGTGTGATGACTGACGACTTTTTGTTGCCCAGAATGGAAGAATTGGACATGCCTGACACGTGGTTTCAACAAGATGGTGCCACATGCCACACGGCACGCGAAACAATGGCCCAATTAAGAGTCGCCTTCGGTTAATAGTTTATCTCACGTTTGGGGCCCGTCAATTGGCCACCTAGGTCGTGTGATTTAACGCCTTTGAATTATTTCTTGTGAGGTCATGTTAACGCGGTCAAGCAACAACTGACGCTCTGGAAGCCAATTTTAGAGCATTTAATACCGGTCGATGTTAGAGAGAGTGTGCCAAAATTGGACCTTGCGCATGGACCATCTAAAGCGGAGCCGCGCACTACATTAGCATGAAATCATCTTCAAACAAACATTAAATTATACTGATCGTTCTATCGATTCCAATTAAAATTTCATCAATTTTTTCAAATTTTTTGTGTTGTTTTGAAAATCAAATCCTACACCTCTTAAAAAATCACTCTTTAGGTAATGTCCAGTATATAAAAGTAGGGAATAGCTATCTGAATTGCTCAATATCATTCAACTAAATCATTTAAATTAACTTTAAATATACATTTTGGAATGTATAGTAGAATTAAACGATATTGTGTACACTTTAAGTTAGCGGCACTCTCAAAGGCCAAAAAACAAATAATAGAAATGAACCGGCTGCAAACTAGTCCACGTGGACTGAAGAATTGGCGGTTCGTATTGGATAATTTTTACTAACCGAGTTTTATGATTGGCTGAAGAGTCATACAATTGAAGTCATGTTACGGTGACTTATAGAATGCGGAGATGGTTATCGCCGTTATGTCGTCAATGTTTAGTTCAGGAACTGATCGCGATTTGAGTGTGCAGTTATAATTACTTAAAATTTTTGTTATCAGTTGAAAATGTTGCGTATTTGGACAAGTACTAATAGTAATAACGAGTGTGATAACAACGCATACTTTTTCCAGCGAGTGATTCTAATAGCGATGGTGAACAATGCGAAAAACAGATACCAGTGGCCAGTGAATAAGATTCGGATATATTTGAATATTGAAACACAGAAAGTATGTTTCAATGTATATAAGAATAAGAATCTATGAACGCAAGACGTGATGTGATAAAGGATTACCAAAACTTTTAGATGTTCATCTAATAAAATCATTGAAAAAAACAAAAGGAATAAATTGAATGCTTCCGGCCATAACGTGAGCTGCTTTGACCAAACTCTTCAGAATTGGATAAAGTAGGACTCAGATTTGAAATAATAAACCAACGTCAAGCAGTTATAGGAATTAGAAGAATGATGGAATTGCGTTACAAATATTTTTGAGGTCCAAATTTTGATTTTTGAAGTCAGAATTTCCAAGAGAGAAATATTAAAAATTTGATGCCTTTTTATGTTTCCGTATGTATATAGGCCTTTTTTTAGCTGGTCCCACTATTGCTATCTCGGAAATGGTAAAACCTACAAGGTCGGTTGAATTAAACGAAAGTTTCCTATTCAGGAGAAAAGGTATAATCTTTTTACATATCAGTGGTTGTTTTTCAAATATCGCTAATATATAGCAATATATAATGGTGCTATATCTACGTGATTAGAGTAGATTCATAATTACTATGTGTTAACTGAAATATTCATTATCACTGACGACAAGAAAATCTCTTCCTGCATAGAGTTAAAAATTTCCAAAATAAATTGGAGTTAACGCTTGGTTTGGTATGTAAGACACAAAGATTATAGGTCCCTATTTTTTGTGATATCTTTTATGGGAAAATTGTAATTGAAATTCTTGTCGGAGACTCCAGTTGAGTTGCTGGAAAATTTGCCTTTGAATATTCTGAGAAAATATCAGTACTTTCAACACGATGAAGCTCCGCCACATCGCAGAAATAATTGCATATATGTTTTCAATATGACTATGCCAAGACAATGGATAGGAAACAATGATCTCATTAAATGGCCACCACGTTCACCTCACCTGACCCTTCTGGACTTTTCACTGTGGTGCTTCATTAAAGACAAGGTAATCGGCTCAACTTTTGGCAATATTGACAAATTAAAAGAAAACAATAAGGGCTTGCATTGCTATAACTTCACAAATGCTGGAAAATTGCTATAAAAAGACTATTGCAAGAGCAATTATGTGTTTGTACGTTTAATGAGATATCGTGAATGACGTAGATTGTTATAATTTTTTTCTATTTGTTACCTGAAGTTTGCTTTGAAAAAAAGGTTGAAAAAGACTAAAATGGTTTGACCACCGTCCTCTAACAGTCAATTGAGGGAAATTGTCTTTCAGCTGCAATATATCGAATAGCTGTTCATATAGGAGCATTAAAATTATCAACAAGGTCATATAATTGAAATTCACTCTGTGAAAGAAATTAAATACTTAGGTATATATATCCATAGACATCTGAAATCGGACGCTCATATAAAATATACTATTAAAAAACTCCAATGAATAATACTACATAGATTTCGACTACTCAAAACATGTTTACCAACGAAGGAAGTAGAAAAACTTTATTTCGCCTTAGTGGAACGTCACCTGAGATACGGTATTACAGCGTGCGGCTCAGTTTTGCGGGTACATTTAAATTCATTAGAAATTATTCAGAGGAGATTTTTGAAACTAATCTATTCGAAAAATGTACGCTTTCCAACAGATCGAATATACAGTGCATTTATTGACATTTAACTACATAATATAAAGTAATAAGCTTGAAGTCAGTTCAGAAGATGCTCGAAATGGTTGCCTTGAACTTCTTGATATATGAACAGCCATCCAAAATTTCACGCCGAACATTTTCGAACACAGTAACGTCAGTATCTCTACAAATATTTATTATTCTCTGCCTCATATCCAATAATGAAGCAGTTTCAGTTTCATACACCTTTTGCTTCAAATAGCCCCATAAAAAAGTCCAAAGGTGTCAAATCTGGCGAGCAGGCTGGTCATTCTGTAGGACCTCGATGGCCAATCCAACAACTGGGAAAAGTAGTATCCAAATAGTTTCTTACTTGTCTGGTGTCACCACCACATTGATGCTCCATGCAATACAATATTCATATCGAATTCATTAGGATTCGCTTCGACGATTTCAGTGACGAGAGGGCCAATAGTAGTTTCCAGCACATTCAAATACAGTTCCCAAGTTAAATTTTGATCAATAAATAGAGGTTCTACAATATGGTTTCCTAATATTCCTGCCGAAACGTAAATTTTTTTTGTATATTGGGTATGCGTTTCCCGGAAAACGTGAGGGTTGGTGTCACTCCAATAACGGCAATTTCTTCTGTGAACATTGCCGTACATTCGTCACTAAAACAAATATTGTGGAGATAGGTAGGATGCCTTGCAATGGTTTCAGTCATGATTTCGTAGAATTCTGTTCTTCGTTCAGGGTCATCTTCAGTTAATTGGTGTATCATTTTAATTTTGTATGGATGATACCTATTCCTCATCAAAAGTCTCCACTCAGTAGAAGGAGACATCTCACAAACATTCGCGACGGAATAAGTAGACTGTTCAGGATTTACTACCATCCCACCAATTATTTGCACTTGCTGTTCTTCGGGAATGGACGGATGACCTGGGGGCTTTTTGTTATGTACACTACCGGTAGTTGTGAATTTGGATACAAGTTCCCTCAAATATTTTCTACAGATAGGACGATCCGGAAAACGTTCATTGAAAATCCTTTCGGTCTCGTGAAAGTTACGCGTCGCATCGTAAATAAAAATCGCTTCAAATTTTTCTTCCAATGAACGAGAATTGACCATTTTAGAGATTGGTGACGTGGTACCTTTCTACTAGTAAAACCGAAAACTAAATGAGAATATTCTAACTGAACAATGATGTTCAATGATTGTTGTTTTTATAAAGAAAAAATTAACAAACCTTATCGGGTTGTGGGAATTGCCATATGGCAGATAAAAATGAATATTTCTAGAAAAATCAATATTAATGTGTTTGTCTTCAGGAAATTATTAAATGTTCCGCCATTTTGTAGTTGGTGAAGATATTGACTTCATATTCTAGGGTTGTGACGTATTCGTCAGGAACTTCAAAATGATTTGTCCATTTAAATTTTTTCCCAGATGGCGCTCAGCCG